ACGCACGCTTGTGTTGCGTGCGGCACCGCCGCCCCCCTCCCCAAGCTCCATGCCGCGGCACGCTATGCCGCTGCACGCCGCTACATGTCCGGCGCCGCAGACGAGCTTACAGCGAAACCCGGCGTCTTCGCCCTAGGATTGGAGCGTAATGGAATCCATGACGCCCTCGAGAAAGTTCTACAGACACTGTAGCCTTTAACAGTAACGTTTAATCGTATTTTTTGCCGTAAAAGTTGACTCGCAATTTTCGAAAAACTTGTGACGCCATTTTTTTCACTCGTCGCTTGGTTCCCGAATTTTCGATTCGTCTTAGTCGTAGCACGCTATTAACGCTTTTACATTTTGTAGTACAAATGACGCTTAACATTTGATCGTATTTCTACCTAGATTTCTACCTCGAAATTAAGCAGATTTATGCCGCATTTCTCGTAGTTTGTAACTCGTTTGTGAAGTTGGCCGCCGGGCCGCCATTTTGTTTGTTGTTGTCTGCGCGCTTGGGCGACGCTGAATTTTGTAACTCGTCTCATTTTTTTCGATATTGTCCCGTAGTAGCACAAAATGAACGGCTATCGTTTCTGTAGATTTATGAAGAAACGTCTAAATCGAAATATACGCTAAATATTTATAAATACCCAAGTGTAGATAAGCTGGGAAATTTCAAAACGTCACTGCGTCACATGTGTTTGTGCATGTTCACAAGATTTTTTTTACTGTGGTTTGCTTAGCACTGCATAATTGTTAAAAATATGAACTACTTTATGTTTGATAAATATTTTATTTCTGGAAGCACATCAGTGTTTTGCTTGTTCCTATGTGAAGCACTAGTACTGTGCGTTGTGTGCATGTTGTAGTCAAGAAATGAAGCGTGATTGTACCGTAACGAGCTTGGGGCAAGAGGGAGGGGGGCGGAAGTGGTAAAAAAAAGTTGCGATCATGAAAATTTAGCGGTGGAATAGTGACCGCTAAAACCGCTATAATTAAGTGACCGTTATCAAATCAAGAATTACAGTATATGGTGACCAGCCAATCCTACTCTGCCCTGCCACTTGCTACATAATGTAACCAAACACTACAGGGTGTCTGCTACAGCACCAGTTACAATGGTGACAGCCTTCTGGTCCAGCTAGTCCTTGACGTTATTTGTTTGGAATATAAGAAGAGCAAATAAAGTAAAAACAAAACATTGTTTTCCCTGTGTACACTTGACAAAAAATGTAAAACATGACAAAATAAACTGACCGCCTGTGCCTGAATGTTGAGCTGCTGCTCCAGTAGAGCCACCAGGTCAACTGCTGACTGTGCCTGACCTGAAGCCAGGTTGAACACATGTCCACAGTGGGTCGGGCTGAAGTCCAGGGCTGACAGGACACCTCGAACTGCATCCTCCACATACAGGAAGTCTCTCTCCAGGGGACGGCCCTCCCTTCAAAACAAGTGGAACTGTTTTAAATTTGAATTACTGGTAAAAAAATGCTTTTTTTTTAATCTTGAAAATTCATCTATGTTCACTTGGTAGAAACCATCATGAAGAAAGTTCATTTGGTCTCAGTGGATAAAGTGAAACTCAGAACCAGACTTTTTTGCACGAGCCATTATAGAGGACATCTACAATGTACATGGGGGGTGCCACAGACTTTCTGTAACCTATGATTCACTGCTCATCAAGTCACGTGTGTCATCTGCATAACTGATGTCACAGAAGTGTTGGATTGCTCATTCCTTAACTTAGACTGGAGTTGCAGTTGAAAATGTGGATGAATCCAAATTTTTTGTGTTGGAAATTACTATCAAAGTTTCAAAAATAGCATAGTCTTGAGAACTAAGATGCAAATGTAACACCTGGTGTGGAACACCTGTAGGACCTCTCCTTCCAGCATCTGCTGAGTGAAGATGTTGAGGGCTGAGTCTTCCCGTCCCCACGGCCCGTACACCGTGAAGAAACGCAACCCCACCTGCCATAGACAGATTAACACTTATTACAATTTACCAAATGTCCAGTCTCTTTAACACAGTCGTGATCAAGATAACTTAACACACATAGCTGGCTTTAAACCTTCTCTAGATAAATTCCAGGCTACCCCAAACCCTGAACCGATGTTGGTTGAGATTTCGTCAAGAGCAAAGATATGGGAAGGTCCTAGACACGTGACAGGGCACAGGGGGTTTACCTTTCCCTGAAATTCTGTGGCAGACTGGCATGGAAACATAAACTCACCTGGTGCAGACCATACTCCTTACAGTACCCCTGTGCAAGGAGCTCTCCAGTCCGCTTGGCAAGGCCCTCTATGGTGTCAGGTTGGAGTACATGATGAGAGGGGGAGAAAGGAAGTTGGGACGAGCTTCCATAGACTGATGCTGACGAGGCATAGACAAGCTTGATGTTCTGAGAAGAGAAAGAATTGAAAGAGAAAAGATGGCTTTATTACTATTAGTTATGTTCCATATAATATAAAATATTTTCCATGGTTACAGCAACATGATGTGCAGATTTTATTTCAAATGAAGACTGCCAAAATACAAAAAGAAAACACCAAACTTGAGTGGTAGGACACTAAAAATCACCTTATAGTTTTTCATGACCTCCAGTAAGTTCACAAAGCACTCCACATTGTTCTCCATGATGGCAGCGGCATCCAGGTCCTGACCTCTGACCCCTGACCTCCCCGCCAGGTGCACCACGTGGGTGAAGTTCTCCCTCCTGAAGAGGTCGGTCAGGTACTCCTGGTCACAGATGTCCCCGTCCTCCAGCGCCACTCCGTATTCATACAGCTCATGGGCTCTGTCCTGCAGACACCATTACAACATGTACATTGGTCACAACAGGTTATGAGGAGAGACATGTAGCCTTCCACAGGAAAGTACAAATGTACAGTTTTCAGACGTGTTTGTGTGTTTGTGGCTGCAATTCACGGTGGGTTTGACACAGTGTTCTAGCCAGCATGAAATTTTTTCTGTCATCTCAATTTTGTATGATGAGTCAATCATGTCGAGTGCTAAGGGTGCAATGTGCCACATGGAAAAATTTTGACTCCCTGAAACAATATTTCTGGCATTTTGAGGGACCATTTTGCTGGTATATAGACAAAGCTTAGTTTAGTAACATCTCTTTAGATATCTTTTCATACTAATTTTTGTCCGTGAAAGATGACGGATTGGGCAAAAATTTGTCCATCACAAGTTGCCAGATTATGCCAAATGATGGAAAAACAGAAGCTGGCTACAGAACACTGGGTCACGGATATCTTTGATTTTTGGTATATCACCAGATGGTTCAGTTTGTTGTATCTGTATTTTTTGTGCAACAAGAGATCAGAGTTACAGGATGTATATCAAGCACGATCAGCCCCACCCACCTGCTTTAGTTTTAAGTCTGACCACTTGTCAAAGTTGTCCACACCAAAGACTCTAGCGTGAGGCTTGTCCAACAGAGCCTTGGACAGGTGGAAGCCTACAAAGCCGGCAGCTCCAGTTACTAACACATGCTTAGGGCTGTCTGTCTGGGCACCAGGGATGGGTGGTTCAACGGTGCCTGGTGATGTAGAAACAGGAAAGATTATTAAAGAGAGGAAAGCCAACATTTGCAAACTTAAATGCAGGATGTTTCCCCCTGATGGCATTCTATGCCCCACACATGTGAGGCCACACCAATTTAATTTCTTGATGTTGTTTAAGAAATAGACTTAACCTGTAGCAAACACATGGTGGTGTAAAGAGGTACTGACCTGGAATGTGTCCAGTCCTGGTGACTGTGTAGAGGAACAGAATGCAGCTGATGCCTACAGCAGTGATGAGGACAGGTCTGGAGAGCATCTTAGTAGTGTTGTTTACTGCAAAACAGTTTGTTTGTTCACAATGTAAAATCAACTGTACAATTTCGGTATTCTTTTTTTTACAAGTTTCATTCATATTTTTGCTTACAATCTCTCTCATATAGTCATAACATCATTATGCATCAGGGTTACCCCCATATGACCCCTTCACGGCCATAAGGCCCTTAAAAGGGTTGGGCAATTAAGATTCAGGATCAGGACACAAATAAAAACTCCATTTCAGCCAGGGCCCCCGAAAAGTGCACTGTACAGCCATAATGAGTTCATATCATTTATCTTAGAACTATAAATTATAGTTATTCTAAATTCAACTTCAAGAAAATGACTAATGTATGGTCATAGAGATTTGAGTGAGGGCCAGATTTTGCGGACAAAGACGTTCGTACAAAACGTTGACATTGTTGTTGTTGTCTTTGTTTAACGTCTATAATATACTAGTACGGTAGGCGTGGTGTCAAATGTCAACAGAGCTGCAAAGGGGATTTTCGTCTGCTAAGGTAGCTGTCAGTGCAATTCCGTGTAAAATCAATCGTATACAACAATGCAAGCCATACAAACGAATAAGCTCATCCTGTTCAAGTACCTAACGCCACACTGCGTACTCACCATTCGCCGAGATTCAGTTAGAATCCATATATCTCCAGAAAATCGCGAAAAAATCTCCAAATTTTCAGACGATTCATTCGCACTTTTTCAAGCCGCCGCCATTTTGTTGAGAAAACAAGTGAGGAAATGTCAAACCTCTCATGATTGGCCAGCGTTCACAAATCAAACCAATCAGCGATAAGTTGACATCTCAAACTAAATCCTGTTCCGAAAGCGAGGTCGAAGCCTCGCTTTGGTTCAATTAGCTCATTCCAAACGTCCAGAGCAGGTGTTTAGGTTTTAGGCGGGGCGATTTTCCCCACATTTTGTCTCCAAAATTCTCTCCAATTCCGGAGTATTCCTGCCCGACACAGACATGGGGTGCCTTTGCTCACACCCTGAAGAGCCGGCCGCGCAAGAGGACGAAGCGCCGAAGGTGTACAGCTGGGACAAACGCGACAAGGTTGACCCAAAAGACTTCACCATAGCGAACCTGAAGGTGAGGAGTATATTTTTCACACCTGTACATAGAGCGACAGGTTGATGATGGTTTTTAGTTGTAAATGTCAAGTTCGGGGCTCTGATCTTCAACGTCGTGGCACTGTACTTAAGGATATCCAGTCCAGTGATGTATTTTTCAAGCTCTACACTCCACCCCATGCTTCTATAAAGCATGAGGCCTTTTTGACTGAAATCTAAGGAATTGACACTTAATTGCTTATTCTTATATATCTACAAGTTAAAAAATTATCTATCAATGCATACTTTTTCTTGTCTGAGAGACTGCAATGTACACATTTTCAATTTTTGTATCTGTTGCATGTATGGCCTGGGCCTGGGCATTCATTATCCTTGGTAACCATGGTGACCAAGGAAGCCACTTTTACAAAGCCAGTATGTAATGCATATATAGACATTTGCAATAGAAGATTGACAAGAAAATGATAGGGGGTCAAAGGTCCCAGAATCTGACCAGTAGCCAGTAGGAATTAAAGGTAAAACATTGGAGAATTCAGGAAGCCAAGGATTGCATACTTCCCAGAGCATGTGGTTGGGGGAAGATTGACAGGCGAAAAGGTCTCAGATTCTGGCTGGGAGGCAGTAGGAGAGGTAGACATGGGGGGAATTCAGGAAGATGATTGCAAACATTTACTTTGCATGCAAGTCTGAAATCTGTGCTTTCTTGTTTGCAGGACGAGACAGTCGGCCGCGTGCCCGGGACGGTCAACGGACAGCAGTTCATCATCCAGGACTGCGAGAACTGCAACATCTTCATCTTCGACCACTCCGCCACGATAACCATAGACGACTGCGTCAACTGCCGCATCTTCCTGGGACCAATCAAGGGCAGCGTCTTCATCCGCGACTGCAAGGACTGCAAGTGCATGTTCGCCTGCCAGCAGTTCCGCACGCGGGACTGCAAAAAGATCGACTGTTTCCTGAGCTGCGCCACCCAGCCCATCATCGAGGCATCCACGGGGATGAAGTTCGGCTGCTTCCAGTACTTCTACCCCGAGCTGGAGTCACAGTTTGCGTCGGCGGGGCTGAGCGTGTTCAACAACAACTGGAGCAACATCCACGACTTCACACCCGTGCCTGGGGAGACCAGCTGGAGCCTTCTGTCAGAAGACATCAAGGTGGGTTTGTTATCCTGAAAGTTCATCTGTGTTGGTAACAGTCATTATGAAGTTTTAACTGTAATTTTGGATTCAAACCCATAACCTTTAGGTTTTAAGTCAACAACCCTAACAACCTTGTTACTCTGCAGGTTGAAGACTGCCTACCAAATCCCACCACAGAACAGTTCCAGGGCGTCCAGATCTCCACCCAATCACAGGACAGTGTAATCCCCATCACCAGAGGATCACGGAGAAAGACGTCAGACGAGTCGTGTCTGGTCGTGTTCTTCTCCAGCGATGCGGACAACAGAGACCTGGCGCGGCGGTTCCTACAGAAGATGGGTCAGGAGGCTGCGGGTTGTGCCTTGATGCAGACGAAGGAGATCAGTATGACGGGGGATGACGTGAGACGGGTGTTTGGGTCGTCTGCTGAGTTGGAGCTGTTTGTACAAGCAGCTCAAAAAGGTGAGGAAATGCTACTTTACCTTTGCTTGTTTATTTATTTAAGCCTTTGGCTTTATCTATGCATGGAAAACTCGTATTGGCCAACTGGTACATGTACATAGTATGCAATGTATAACAAATTCTTTACCGATTTCATTCCAGGACCAGTGATTGGTATCGAGTACAATGGAACCAGCAGCGTGAGCGTTTGTAAAGAACACGTCCAGGCCGTGGTGGGGAGCGCCGCTGCAGTCGTCTACACTTCTGACAGTCCGGCCAAGGCGGCAACAGACGTCGACAACTTCTACAACTTTGCTGACATGCAGATGATGTGAACATCACATCATATTTTTAGGCCACGCCAAATTATTTTCCTTAGTTCTCCAATGTTTTTAAGCACGAAACATTGTAAAACAAAATAATTGGGAAGAAAATTTCAACAATGAAGGAATCGTCATTCCAAATTGTTCCAATTTAGGTTTCTTCAAATCCAAGAACGTACATGTATGTATTAAATTGGTGTGGCCAAACATAAAATGTGTCTCAGTGTGTAGACTCCTCCAGATTTCATATTGTTAAATTGGTAATACATGTATCTGTGTGTGTGTTTGTTTGTTTGTTTGAAGTTGTATGTAGAAATACAGATAAATATTAAGTATCTTCTCATCAAACGTGCTGAGAATAAGTAGCCAATATATTTTGTAAGGATCGTATTTGGCTAAATGTTAAACTCTTGAAGTCTGGCTACATATGTATGTAACAAGCTCCATATCTTGTGGGATTTTTGAAATCAAAGTCTACTACAAAATGTATTTGTATGAATTGATATTGCTATGTATGTATTGGACGGAGCTATTTACAGAATGTTTTATTTTGCAATACAGGAATGTATTTCATTAGTTTGATATGGAATAGATGGAAAGACAGGCTTAAAATATTGTATTTGTGGAATTGCTATAGTAAATTATACCATGATAGTGCTGTACCAGACCTCTAGAAAGATAAGTTATTGTAGGGCTAAAATATGGCCTCAGCCAGGCTTTAGAGGTACATGTTGAACCTAAAAAGAGTAGGTATTGGCCAAGTAGACAGATAACTTGCCGGGGGAGTTGGTCTGCTATTGTTTGCCATTCTGAACTGTACTGATGCTGGCATATTATCTGTCTTTTTGACAGTTTGCAGAAACGTTTCCTAGGTTGCATTTAAAAAATAGACAACATGCAATGTTTTCGGGGTAAAAAGATTTCACACTTGGTAAAGTTGGTATTATGAATCACAGTCAAGCTTTAACATACATATACAATGTACTTACATTGTATCTTCTGTTATACAAATATAGTAGGGTTCTAATGATGGGTATTTGCAGAAAATGTAGACTTTCCTACAACTGGCATTATAATTTGTACATACAGTAGGCAACAGAAAAATTTATTTTGAGCCCAGTGTTATAGCACATAACAGTGAGTGCCCTACACACATGCTGTAAACTTAATATGCCAGTGACCATGTTTTAAAGTTGAAATGCCTTTGCGCTCACAACAAGCTTGCTTGTGAATTATATGTCTTTTCGCATTTAGATGTATCAATGTTCAGGGCTCGAAATTCCACTTATTATAATACATGTAAGTATAAATGGACTTTTACTATCATGAAAGTTCATCTTTGTTGGGAGTTACATGTTTGAAAAGATTTTGAGTTGGAATTTTGTGATAACAGGAAAGACCTGTGTAATGGGACCAAAGTAAAGGCCAGTTACAATCATTCCTTCAGATGTTAGTCACTAACCAACATGATTATTTCCATAGATAGAATTGGAGCATTGACTTCTCAAAAGGGACCATGTGCCTTTAGTTTTGTTTTGTCAAATTTCAGAGAAAGAGAGAGTTAGATAAAATGGTCTTATACAGGGAATTGTACCCCAGGTATTGGTACTAGAAAAGACCCTAAAGAAAGTTGAAAGGTTTAATAAAACAATTGAGTATACTAAATATTTCATACATTAAATAGCATACCATTTGAAAGCCTAAGTGTATGTGATAGTACATGTATAGATTGCACAAAAATTGATACATCTCATCATTATAGCCAATATTTTGTTTTTCTGAGTCATCTCGAGAGAAATGTTTCATAAAGCATTGTCACTTCTCTGAAATATGAAAGCCATTAATTATGTTTGTTAATTGCCTTACCTGCCCTTTTTCCAGGAAAAACAGAAAATGTGTCTTCTCTTAAGGAAAATAAACTGAATATGTATCACCTGTTGCCTATGAGTTTACTATACATCGTGCATGTCAGGCCATACCAATTTCATATATTAGCCACCTCTCAACTTTTACTTAGCCTTCTTTCAGATTTTTTAAATCCAATATTTGTAGATGAAACTAAAATATAACTCTAGAACAGACTACTTTCAAAACATGGAAGGACAGAATTAAGCAGAAAGCTGCTAGCACATAGCCTCCTCCAGACTTCTTAGAGCTGTGTTATTTTTGATATCGATTTTTACAAGGACTCATGATGCGACAGAGGGAGTTATGCCTCTGCATCTCTAGCTCGGGTGGGCAATACAGCTCTCCCAACGGGTACAGGTCTTCCCGTGGATACAACTCTGTCCACCCGACCAAGGCCCTCCCCAAAAAGAAACAGCCGCACTGCAAATGCTGCCCCGCTAATAGTCTGCACAGGAGGCCACAAGCACAGGCAACGTGGCTCGGCATAATTGGTCTGCAGTACTTTGTCATGAATACTGATGTTTAAATCTGACAGTAAGAATTTGTACATTTGCTGTGAGGCTGACAAGCATGAGGCACAACCACACAACCCAGCTAGCTCTGGTAAGCAAAGCTTGTTTCTTTTCAAGGAAAATAAGGCTGCACCTATTCATTTGATTTATTCTCAGACATCTCTGCAAAAAATCAGCAAAAGATCAAGATTCAAACATCAAAATCAGCACAAGCTAAAGGTACACTGTTCCCATGTGACTATTCCATGTTTATTTCTTAATGCAGCTGTCCCATGTTTATCTTTTTAATTCAGCTTTCTTAAATTCTGACACGCAAAGAATTGAATAGATGTAGTCTGATACCATGTTATAGGATAAATTTGTTACTGGCTGTTAATTTATTTTGTGAAACCCGTGTATAGTAAATGGTCTACAATTCGTCCTGTGTCTCATTTAAAACTGCATGTTTAAGATTTTAAGGTAAAATCAAGATTTCCTGGTGTAAGTGGCATCTCCTGTTTTATTTTGGTTGTGTGGAACATGTAGACCATTGCATGGTTGAATCATACATAATCATACATAGGCCATGGCACAGGGAGAAGCAAAAAGAGAATTTCATAACACAACAAGAAAGTGCAGATTTCACACCTTTGTCTAGTGTTTAGAGTATTAATTATTGATATGCAATTTTTCCTCATAATTGTGAATTTCTCGCTGATTCACATCTGTGGATATTCCACATCAATAACAAAGACCACCCACTATCTTCTTTTCAACACAAATTTATTTGAGCATACAACTCCTCAACATTTTTCATCTGTACTAGTAGTTGTAGTAGTAGACTTGCGGTAGACTGGTTTATTTAAACAACAACACATTGCAGCTCTAATGGCTGAATTGTGAGGCTAGTTTACATTGCTACATACATGTGTTATAAAACTAAAAAGGCTCTGTTAAAATTTTAAGTTAATTACTCTAAATGTTGATATGAAATTGCATTTTACTGATTGTGGTTTCCTAGTGAAAACTGAACTAGAGATGAGTCTCATCTCTTCTTTGTCACATGCTCTTCTGCTCATAATGTTTGAGAAGTATAATGGGATGGGCTTAAAACAGCCTACTATTCATCCTTCTGGCTGTGTTAGTAAGCCAATCAGATATTCCCCTGTCTGTTATCCCCAGCCAATCAAGTTGTGTCCAACAGTTGAGAAGGAACGTGATTGGCTGTGTTAGCACTAGCCAGCCACAAGCCAATCAGATACTCCACTGTCTGTAGCCAATCAACTTGCACCTAACAGACAAGTGATAATGTAATTGGCTGGTAACTTCATGTTGAACAACAGGGAGGAAGATTTGAGTATCTGATTGGCTTGCATTAGGCATGGCAGGAGAGGAATCAAGGCCTCTCCCCGGCTGCCAAACGTCGGTTGATGTCTGCTATGACGTCTGGCAGGTCCACGATACTGTCAATGACGTAGTGAGCACCTGAGTCGATCAGAGTGTCATAGGCACGCTGTAACTTCCTGTTCAGCTCGCTTTGGCTCATGGCAGCCACTTCCTCCTCGGTCGCTCCCACGTAGTTACCCTAGCAACCAAGGTCAAGGGTGAAAGGTCATTTGCATAATGGAGAAAAATAAGTTCAGTTTTTGAACTTTTACTGGCAAATCTGTACAGCTGACCGCTGATGCAATTAGAATCTGAAGGTTCTAGATTCGAATCCCTGGCAGGCCCCAGATCTTCAGAACGTGACGACTGTTATGTAAATCCTTCTACAAAAGTGGTAATCTCAATACATAAGAATATGAAAAAGTAGGGGACCTACCGTTTTTGCCACGCCCACAGCCCAGCATCCTGCCGAAGTTCCTTCCTTCACTCCATCCACTGTGTCATCCACCTATAATCAGTACGGACAGGTCATATGCAGACATGAACAGCCAATCAGTACCAAGGACAGGTCACATGTAGACATGAATAGCCAATCAGTACCAAGGACAGATCACATGGAGACGTGATCAGCCAATCAGTACCAAGGACAGGTCACGTGTAGACATGAACAGCCAATCAGTACCAAGGACAGGTCACATGTAGACATGAACAGCCAATCAGTACCAAGGACAGGTCACATGTAGACATGAACAGCCAATCAGTACCAAGGACAGGTAACATGCAGACATGAACAGCCAATCAGTACCAAGGACAGGTCACATAAACAGCCAATAACTACCAAGGACAGAAAGATGGCTAGAAAATAAACTGTCATAGTTTCAGAATATACAAGTCTAATACACATGTACATGTATTTAGATTCTTAATATACACCAAGTGGAGTATTGTTTGTGTTTTTTCTGAGTGTGTGAGCGCGTGTGTCATTGTAACCTCTGTGAAGGACCAGTCATCATTAACCTTCCTTTGTTGCTTAACCCCATAACCAATACAAATTTGCTGCCAAATGCCTACCTTAGCAAGCTGAAGGTTAACAACACTAGCATACCTTTACAACAGCCTCAATAGGATGCACGTCTAGCTTGATGGCATTCAGCCACACCATATAAGGGCATGGTCGCGCCTGGGGCACCATGTCTGCCGCAGCGTAGAAGTCAGGCACATAGCCTTGCTGCGCAGCCACGGGCTTTAGGTCGTCCAGGATGGGGGTGGTGTAGCCTGTCGTGGACCCGATCTTGATTCCCTTCTCTCTGAGCTGGTTCACTGTCTCCACAGCACCTGGGACCAGACATACATGTACATGTAGTTAGGTTAACATTGTATTACATTATGTAGCAAGTGGCAGGATATAGTTGGAGGGGCTGATCATGTATAACTAATGATGATAATGTTGAATTACATATATTTCATCCTTTCGCAAGGTTTCATGTCAAAATTTTATCAATTTAATTATGCAAATGACATCCACATTAGCATGATTTATGCAAAGTTCATAATAAATTTGCTCAATCAAACAGCTGACCTGGTATCATGGTGGAGTAGTTCTTCATGACAGACAGCTGCATGGGTACAAAGTTGGCGTACATGCGATCGATATCCTCCTCCGTGGGGGGGCTGCCGTACTTCTGGATCCACCTGCCTCTCACACTTTCGTTCTCTAGAACACGCTGGATGTGAACCTGATAGATAACAGAGGTGAAACAGGCATCATAAATACAGGCCTGTACCTGTACCCGAACAAGTTTGGGTGTCAACTATCTTTTTCAGTGGTAAAGTACTTAGTCTAGTAAATTGTTAATCTAAAACAAGATTATATTGCATGTATGCTAGCATGTTGGCAGAACGTATACAGAGCCTGCAAAAAGAAACATAATGTATTGTGCATGTCACACTGTCAGAACATCTCATTTACGGTCATATTCACATATATATGTATATTTAAGGCTGACATCCCATCTACAGTTTTCAAATGTTGTGTCAGAAAATATATTTTATGGAATGAGCAAACTTCTGATGCAATGTTGACAGTACATTAAACAAAAACCGTGAAAAAAAATCTGTGTTTTGCATAGGCGCATTACATTCTGCAGACATGTTCTAGATGCTAGCTTTCACCTCACCCTCTTGTGTGCTCCCATGGGCCCCCTGGCCTCCTCATTAGAAATGGGAACACCTTCATTCTTGAAGATCTCAGAGAAGGTGAGTGCCGGCGCACACACCCCGTAGTCGATGACAGTCCCTGCCCAGTCCAGTACCACCAGCTTGACTGGACCACGGTATCTCCTCATGCAGGAGTACTGCATACGGGGGTTGGACCAAGCCATCTCCTATGTGTAGTACCTACATGTGTAAACATGTGTAAAATTGCAACATGATGTAGCCTGACACCGGTTTATACCATGGTGACAGATGTTTGGTTCAGGTCATTGACTTTATTGGTTTGAAGAAGAAGAAGAGGAAACAGAGCAAAAACAATATGTTTTTGTAACAGTGTGGGGGGGGGGGTTATAGGCGCTATAAATCATAAAGCAAATTTTATGGAGAAAAAGGGAGGGACCATGCCGGCCTACCACCAAAAACATGATGCTTCGAGTCACTTTTACAATCATGCAGACGCCTAGACATTTTGAGACAACGTCCTGGAAGCAAAATATGGGTGGGCCATCGTCACATTTCCCAATTCTGTTCCGAAAAAACAGGTTGGTAAGCTTTGAAAAGAGACCGTTACACCGCCCCCTCGCCCTCTCGACATCTGCTTGGAGAGTAACTTTTCTGTCTGAACCACAAGGGCACGGGTTCGAATCCCATCGAAGCCGTCTGTCAGCCGTAGCCACAAGATTAATACAAATGAAAGCACACGGTTGTTATCGTTCTTTGACCTTCCCTTTGACCTTAAACTTTACACCTTACCGGTTAATCGTTAATCCGCGGTGCGTGCCACATTCACGAGTTGCACATTCCCATGATCCTTTGCGCACAGGGTAGGTCACGTGGGCGCACAGGGTAGGGAAAGGTCGCGGTAAACCACGTGACTCATCCTCGGCTCTGGTCGGAAGAAGTCGGAAGTGTTCGCGAGCGCTCGGAAATTTCAAAAATGGCTGACACCACTGCCGGCGGCGGGAGGCACGTAGTTTTTCACGGCGTTCGTACGGCAAAGCGGCATTGAATTTTTGCTCCATGACTATCGGTATGGGATAGGATAGGGTTGATTCAACATACTACGTGAAAATGTGACAAAAAGACAGACTTTTGAAATTGAATGCTCCCAGCCTACTATCGGCCAGATAGCTTAGGGCACCTTCTTCCGACCAGAGCCGAGGATGAGTCACGTGGTTTACCGCGACCTTTCCCTACCCT